CATCATGGATTCTTCTCCTTTTCCATAAGAGTAATTTAGTATTTTCATAAGATTCTTCTTTTATCATGGAATTCTGTCCTTTAGCAGTCACAAGCCTGACATAAGCACTCTTAGGATTCTCCTCAAGGCTAGTTTCCAAAGCTTATATTCAGACACTGGAACCAGACTGTCATGAGTGAGAGGTGGCCAACAGCCCGGAGAAATAGGGCAGGGCCAGAATAAGGAGGTTATTAATTTCAGCCAGATGCTGAGGCAATTGCATTGGAGAAGAGAGCAGCAGACAGTCTCTTACAAGGGTAGAGACTGTGAGGATAAGCTCAGAGATTGGCTATATCCATAATTTAAACTCTGTCCTGCCCATAGTATTTTTAGAACTGGATGACATGCCGGATACGGACAGAGCCTTCTAAAGGTAGGATTGATCAGCTCCTATTCTAGAATTCTGAAGGATTGAATGTTTACCATCCCTATACTCTATGCTCACCGGAGCCACAAAATGAATGAAATTGGCTCCTTCTCAGCCAAGACTTACTGAAGTGTCCACATACAGTAGGAGTGGACAACATGCTGCTCTCCAGATGTTAGACGACAATTCCCACTTTCCCTGACCTTTGGCCAAGCTGGCTGGTGTTGATGGGAATTGTAGTCCAACAGCTATCTCTGACACTGGCTGATCTGATCTTTTCAACTCAGTTCAGAGAGAAGTGACAATGTACAGGTATTTTGAAAAATTGCTGATGCTCATTTGTTTTGTGGGATGGATTAAAACACATACACAAATGTACACTCACCCGAATGCTTTCTACATTTGTTACCTTATATTGTAATGTGCTCCATGCTTCCCTGAGTATAATGTTTGTAGGTCAAGGCTTACCTCAGTGTGGCCTCCTGTGGAAGGAGATGCTCACATCACTCCCCTCTGACATGGTTTTGCCCCAATGCCTTCTCTATCAGGAAAAGAAAAAAGCTGTGTTTGTATTATGGTGATGACATTGGTTGAAGCCACATGTGAATCTTGAAGGAGTAGACCAGTGAGAGAATGGTCCCTCTACGTCCTGCCCCAGGATGCTATCTGTGTCATGTGATTGGCATTTGAGGTGACTTTGAGTTACAGCACAGCCAGATGTCTCAGGGATCCTGCCACAGATCATGTATGGGAGACAGTCTTCTAATTGCTTCCTTCACCACCCCACAAAAATAATAAAATGAACTACCGAAATAACAGGATACCCAGAACCTAGCTTCACATGTCCCAGTGGGCAGAACATAATAAGCATATTTGTTCAAACACACAAATGCCCATTGTTGTGTGTGTGGCCCAATTCTTATTCACTCCATGTCACTCCATGTACATTTTTAAATTCAAAAATTAATTATATGTGATCGTTAGTTATAGACGTTCCTAGTGTAGTATGGAATATTTTATTTTGTCAAATCTGACAAGTTTAATACTTGCCTTTCCTAGATACTCTTGATAACTCCTTGAACCAATTAATTTCTCACGGTTCCTTCTGTATTTATATGTTGATGTATTCCTCTGAATATTGATTCTCTTAGTAATAACATCTTACATGCTAAACAAGAAAGCCAGGACCAACACATCTAAAACACTTCTGCGGAATATTGAATTAAAGAAACATTGTAAAAACCAGGCAGTTATTCATTGCTTTGAAAAATGTGTTAGGGGGTGAAAATGGATTTGAAGGTTCTTCAAAACAAAGTGGGCTGCATCTGCTATGTGTTTCTGGAATGATCAAGTGATGACAAGCAGCTAATAGGTGAGAAGACTGAGCTTACTACTTTCTCAGCCTGTGAAAGTATGTGTACAGGATTGCAGATACTAATGAAGTGTCAATTTATTGTGTAGAAGACCAGAGGGGAGTGGGAAGATAGCAAATATTAGAGAGATCATTGTAAAGGAAAAAAATAATATAGTGTGGTGTGATGGAATCAATCTCTGAGCATTCTTAGGCACAGGAGAGGGGGAGAAAGGTTTTGTATTATAGGTTTATACTGTTCATTCCCAGACAGGTTGAACATAACATTTCCTGTGTAGCATCTTGTATTGTTTGTGCTCTGTTGGCTCAAGGGTGGTTTCTATCAATGGGAGTATTTCAGTAACTGATGCTGGGACTATACAGTAAGATTCATTTGAAAGCAGGTTTACTATCTCCGATGTCAAATGCATATTCAACAGGTTGCAATAACATTGATCGCTCCTGCCCTTATCCCTGGGCTCATAAATCTGTTTGGGATATCAATATCCTTTATACTAATAGCAGACCCATTCTCTGAGTACTGATCCTTATCAAGCCAACATCTACACACAAGGGAGAGATAGCAACAGGCTTGGAGAAAACTCAAGCTTTGCATAACAACAACAATTTTTTTAAAAAAATATAGAATATCATGGGAACCATATTTGAACAATATGATCCTGCCTTTGCAGGGATGCTGTGTGAATAATGTTATGCAACCACATGAACAGGACAGATCATGTGGCTCTTTCCCACTTGATTGGCAACTTCCTTCCCTGCATCCCTTCTCTGCAGGGTCCATATTGCATGAAAAAAGACCCACGCAATCAGCCCTTTCTATGTGTTCATGTTATCTGCACGCCTAAACCTGAATGGTGGGATAGTACTACAAAGAATAGATATCCCATGCGCTGACACATGTGTGAAACAGCAGCACAGTCTGCCTTCAGCTGTGGCATTCTCCTCCCCCCCCCCCCCGTAACATTTTATTAAAACTGGGAATCCTGTCCACCACCAGAAAAGGGCATTGCTTCTGGTGAAAGTCTTACACTAAAAGTGAAGCTGAACATTTAAGTCGGTTTCGTTACAGGATAAGATAGCAGCTAATGCTTTTGCTTGCTTGTGAATGTTTCATTTTGCTTAGAGTGTGGCAGATGTCAATTATTTTTAATTAGACTGGCAAGCCCATTTCCTTGAGGCTGACACAATGACACCTACGAGGAATATTGTGCTTCTCAAACAGAGGCATTCTTTGCTGTCATCAAGTATGCACATTGGTTTATTGTTATGGAACATTGCGCAGTACTGTGCAAACTGTACTCTTCAAAAGAACTGGCTGGTCTTCAGGACTGCAGTTTTCTTCCCCAGAAAATATGAAAGGAAAAAGGAGGTGAAGCAGTTGCTTCTTGCTGAATCAACGTTCACTGCCAAGAGCATTTCAAGCTTTTCATCCCCTTTCTTCAGGCACAAAACTCACCCAAACTTGAACCCCCTTCAGGTGTTTGTTTATTATGTTATCCATCTATCCTGTGCCTTCCTTGCTTCAGCCTGAATTTATGCATGGATGTTTGACTAGGGAAAATCTGCAAGCATACAGCTGTAGGCACATAAACTTTCATGTGATCTGAAACGCTACATACTGTAAGTGGAGCCCAGTTCACATGGAAGCTGACACATGTAGGTTTTTTTCCTCTTAATGCCCCTCTGTTTAATTTTGCAAGCCCTCTGTCCGTCTCACACATGTGACCCCGATCACATTTTTAGTACAAGTTCAGTGCACAGTGTAAGTTTTTTCGACTGCCGTGTGCTCCCTACTCCTCCAAGAGAATGGTCTGTTTAGGTCTTCATATCCCGCTCCTGTGTTTGGGGTTTCACAATTTTATGGAGCTCTCAAGAAGCTGTTTGTTCACTAGTTTGGACTGCACTACTTTGGGCTTGGGCAATGCCTTGCGTGTCAAGGCCCCGAGACCTCCCCCCATCTGCTGAATAATAAAACACATGGACACCAGTATTTTAGGTTAATGGTCGAATAAAGGCCACAGCATTATTGGTTACAGAATGTGAGTGGTATTGGCTTAGGCAATGGAATTGAACCGACTATATCTGACTCCTGCCTGCCATGCGGGTAGTCCAGTAAGGGTCAATCACCAGTAGGGGGAGCTCTGTTGATGTTCATCAACTGAGAGCTCCTCCAGGGTCCCTGCTGGGGTCGTGGCATGGCCCTAGCCCATACCAGGGCTTCAGATGAGAGCCACACCCACAGATCCCTTTAACGGAATACCCTTAAAGAGGAGGGGCAGGCGATGGCCACAACCTCCCCTCCCATGAACCAGGTTTTACCAATTCCTAAACCGCCAAACAAAGTTGTGACAATTGCTACGAGGTAGGCAAAAACCCAATGGCTGGTGGCAATTTGCCAAGTGGAAAAATTCCTACCAGGCCCCCTCAACAGGTGACCAGCCGAGGTCCATAGCAAGGCCAAGGTGTCGAACACATGAAAAGAGGGTGGGAGGGTGGTTGATCCACGGAAGCAGGAAGCAAGAGGAAATTCCCTGGCCACATGGCTGCTTAAATGTTGTAAGCCACCCCCACCCCGGCCAACCGGATTGGTCAGCTGGGAGCCGGGACGTGGCCAGAACCCCTCTATGATGCGGGGGCACTTCCAAGCCCCACTGTGCACAGGGAGAGCATGTGGCCTGCCCGGAACACCGTACCACAGGGAAGTGGAGCGGCCTTCTCAGCTTCCTTAAACAGACTGTCAGTTTCACCAGCATAAACAACTATTGGGTTCTTTAGGTATCCTAAAATCATGTCCTCACCTTCGCCTAGATGGAAAATGTGAAGATACCTTAATACTACTTTATGTCAGATGGTAATTCCACAGATTTTTTTTTTTGCCCAGAAAGATCATTTTGGGGAAAAATATTCAAAAGTCCTTGAACGTCATCTAATATGTGAAAGATTGACTCCTATTGTTTGCTACATTTCAGCTTTTCTCTTTCAGCGAAACTATGAAAGGAAATATATTAAAATGTTTTAAAATGCGAAAGGTCAGACTCAACAGGCTGCTTCTAAACTTTAATAACACGAGTAATTGGTAGAACTGTGTTTCCTTTTCATGGTGTTCTCATTGTAATGGCAAGGTCAATTATTATGCCGATTATGAAAATAAATATAAAGCAACATTTTATATTGTTTTATATAAATAACAAATGTATAAAACAACGTTCTTTTATCAAGCAGGTAACTTTTTGAAGCATCCTTGCCCTAAAGCAGCAGAATGATGATCCTTCTTCCTGTGATGCTTTATCTGTGGCCTGTAAGCAATGCTATTAACGAAAGGATTTCAAAGCCCAATATTGTATTATTCATGGCTGATGATCTTGGCATTGGAGACCTGGGATGCTATGGAAACACAACTTCAAGGTTTGCCAACACACTTGATGATATATATGTACATTTGGCTTTAGCTTCAAAAGAGATTGTTCTGGGCAGAGAGCTTGTGGAAGATCACAACCACAATTGTATTAGGATATAGAAACATGTCCCATGGTTTGGTTGACTATGCCTGATTCATGCAAATGCTGGATTAGTGGTGGTAGTCCCATCCTAATCCAAGTAAGGATTAGTGAAACTGGTCCTAAGGGGATGGCTTTATGTCTCTTTCTCCCCACTCGTGCCACTACTGATACTTTAAAGCCCTAAACGGCCTCGGTCTAGTATATCTGAAGGAGCATCTCCACCCCCATTGTTCTACCTGGACACTGAGGTCCAGCACCGAGGGCCTTATGGCAGTTCCCTCACTGCAAGAAGCCAAGTTACAGGGAACCAGGCAGAGGGCCTTCTCAGTAGTGGCACCCGCCCTGTGGAACGCCCTCCCACCAGATGTCAAAGAGAACAACAACTACCAGAGTTTTAGAAGACATCTGAAGGCAGCCCTGTTTAGGGAAGCTTTTAGTGTTTGATGTATTACAGTATTTTAATATTTTTTGGAAGCCGTCCAGAGTGGCTGGGGAGGCCCAGCCAGATGGGCGGGGTATAAATAATAAATTATTATTATTATTATTATTGATAAGAAAACAACAATAAAAATCCAAAGGGCAGCTACCTAAGCAGCAGAAAATAGCACAATCTTTTTTTAAAAGGTGTAGCAACAGCCCCTCCAAGTGTCCCTATTTCCCAGGGACAGTCCCGAATTTATAAAACCCACCCTGGTTTCTGATTTGATCCTAGAATGTCCCGCTTTTCCTTAGAAATGTCGGAGAAATGTTGGAGGCTATGGAGTTATGTGACCCCTGAGCCGAGGAGATAAGTAACTATACAACCTTTAGAAGACATCTGAAGATAGCCCTGTATAGGGAAGTTTGTTTAAAGTTTAATGTTTTTATATGTAGGAAGCTGCCCAGAATGGTTGTGCCAACCCAGTCAGATGGGTGGGGAATAATAATAATAATAATAATAATAATGGAATACAAAATCCCAATTTTCATTGGAGAAATGTTGGAGCGTATGTAGTCAATTAAAAAGCTGCTTTACCTAGCTGGAAAATGCATGAGAGTAGGCCCCAGGTGAACTTCCCTGGTGAGCACATCTTACAAGACAGCTGCCACCACTAAGATGGTCCATTCTCCCAATGCTACCTATCTCACCTGAGGAAAGGCCACAAAATATTATCTCAGTACATAGGCAGGCTTGTGTTGGAGGTGATCTGTCAGGTACCCAGGCCCCAAGCTGTTTTAGACTTCAAAAGTAAGCATGATTTTATTTATTTGTTCATAAAAAATTATACACTGCTTGATTGTTAAAAACAAAAAAACAACAACCCAAAGGCTCAAAGCAGTTGACAAAAAGATAAAACCAGGGAAAATTTGCAATACATTACAACGTGCAAGAGTTAAAATTCTAAAACAGATAAAAATTCACACCAACATTTCTAAGCATTAGAAGTTTGAATCATGCCCAGAAATGGATTGGAAGGCAGTGCAGCTGTTTACGTTCTGGCAATATAATATGTTTCCATATTCAATCTAGCAGCTGGATTTTGAACTAAATGCAGAAATTCCAAACAGTCCTCAAAGATAACCCCATGTACATTACAGTAGTCAGAGCACAAACATACACAAATAGACTGAGAGAACAAAACTATCGTGAAAATACATCTTTCTCTCCCCAATATTTGAATGAAGAATGAAGAAATACAATGGATTGGGAAATATGAGTTACAGTTTGTTTCAGAACATATAGCCCTTAAAATTTAGACTCACTTCATGCATCAGGGTGCAAGATTAAAACACAGACATGTTGGTTCTTAGTGTATTGATTTTGATTTGATGATTGAAATGTTAAAAGAAAAAAGGACTATGGACTCAGCTATAAAGCCGCAAATAAAAAAAATTCAAAGTGTGTTGTAAAGTTCAGTATACAAATGTGAAACTAGATGGAGACAGTGAGCTATGCCAAATTCAATGTATTTTTCAAAATGTATTTTTTTTATTAAAAAAAAAGTATTTTCACAGTGTTTTTTATATGTGTGTAGATTCCACCTGTAACTCGCTGCAACCCTAGACAAATGTAGATACACCTAATTGCATTAACTCCAATGATCAAAGGTGCACTCAATTCACCATAAAATTTGGCTTCATGTTGGATTTGTATGACACCAACTGATGCACTATAAGCCATAACGAGAAATTTAAATAGTCTGAACTCACTTGTGTTTACATGTTCAGAATACATGCCCTTGAATTTGTCTTCTTCTTTTTTCCCTCCAGGACTCCTAACATTGACAAGTTATCTAAAGAAGGAGCAACACTGACTCAACATATAGCAGCTGCACCACTATGCACCCCAAGCAGGGCATCTTTCTTGACAGGCCGCTATTCTGTCAGATCAGGTAAAGGATCTTCTTACGCCATTGTTAGATATCAGGGCACAGCAATTCAAAGTAAGGATGGAGAGGAACAAAGCAGAAGACCCACCACTGCATCCCTTGTACTGCTGGGTCTTGGCCAACACAGAATGCAAGGGCATCGTAACTTGTCCACCACACCAGCTCCAGGCTGGCATAGCTGTAGAGTCTGATGATCAGTCCCTTGGGGGATCTGCAGGGCTCTGGACCCAGCACATCCTAAGTTGCCCTTGCCCTTGCCCTGCCCCCAGCCCAGAACACCTTGTTTTGGGGCTGTCAGTGGTAGCTTTCTGGCTTGGCACAGTTGGGGCTTCTGATGTGAAAGAGTCCTCACCAATACTGGTGCTCCCCACTAGTAGGCATGCATCTACATGGGTGGTGCTGTGGTCTAAACCACTGAGCTTCTTGGGCTTGCTGATCAGAAGGTCGGCAGTTCAAATCTCAGCAACGGGGTGAGCTCCCGTTGCTCGGTCCCAGCTCCTGCCAACATAGCAGTTCGAAAGCATGCCAGTGCAAGTAGATAAATAGGTACCGTTGCAGCGGGAAGGTAAACAGCATTTCCATGCGCTCTGGTTTCCGTCACGGTGTTCTGTTGCGCCAGAAGCGGTTTACTCATGCCAGCCACATGACCGGAAAGCTGTCTGTGGCCTGAAAGCAAGATGGGTGTTGCATCCCCATAGCCGCCTTTGGCTGGACTTAACCATTCAGGGGTCCTTTACTTTTACCTTAGACATTCATCCATTGGTTTCAGTGCATCTCCTCATCTGACTATGACCAACGTTATGTCACCCAAAGTGTGTAAGTGGTTTGCCTCCTATTTGAAAGTAATTTTTTATTCCTTCAGGAATGGCTAGCCTGCACAAAGTTGGGGTCTTCTTGTTTTCTGCTTCTTCTGGTGGACTCCCTATGGAAGAAATAACATTTGCTAAACTTCTCCAGCAGAGGGGTTATTCTACAGCTCTCATAGGTATGGCTGATTAACATGCTTCCTTTATCTATTGGTCTTAAGAAATTTATATCCTGCTTTTCTGACCCAGACTTGTCCCTCAATGTAATCTACATGCTAAAGATGGGCTATCAACTAAGTAAATGAAGCAATTAAGAAAGAAAGAAAAACTGGAAATGCCTACAGAAATTCCAAACAATAAAATATAGTCACTGAGACTTTCTGAAATAACTCTTTTTTTGAAAATGACTTTTCAATGCAGGAGACAATTCTTTGGGGCGAGGATAGCCATTAGTGTAGGGACGCGGGTGGCACTGTGGTCTAAACCACTGAGCCTCTTGGGCTTGCCAATCAGAAGGTCAGCGGTTTGAATCCCTGTGACGGGGTGAGCTCCCATTGCTATGTCCCAGCTCCTGTCAACCTAGCAGTTTGAAAGCATGCCCAAAAAGTGCAAGTAGATAAATAGGTACCGCTCCGGCGGGAAGGTAAATGGCATTTCCATGCATTGGTTTTGCCAGAAGCGGCTCTGGTTTTGCCAGAAGCGGCTTAGTCATGCTGGCTACATGACCCAGAAAAACTGTCTGTTGATAAAGGCCGGCTCCCTCGGCATATAGAGTGAGATGAGCACGCAACCCCAGTGTCATTCCTGACTGGAATTAACTGTCAGGGGTCCTTTACCTTTACCTTAGCCATTAGTAGTAACAGCAGCATCACACCTTGCCTAAACAGGAAATGGCAGCATTGGATCTGTGAGATCGTTATAGTCCACCTGAAAAGAAGATAAGAAGCATCACACCCCACTGTGATCAGATATCTAAGCCAAAACTAAGCTTAATGGGAAACAGAACATTCAGAGGGATGACAAATCCACCTAGTGGCTGTGCCCCCTTTTGTAGGATCAGATACATTGGCAACCAAAAATACTGGCCTAACTTATCCAACCTGATTTACTTTCCACCATGAGGGTAAAAATAAAAACAAAATAATGGCATCTGCATTTCCAAACGCTTTTGAGGAAACTAGGCACAAATTTAAAAATGAGAATGTTCACTGAAAACAATTGATAGCCTTTGCATTTGCTTGTGGATTCAAAAGTGCAGTTCTTGAAAACAAGATGCTGAATACATTCTGCAGTTTCCATGGATATTATGGTCATGGAATAAAAAAGTGGGGGGGGGGGAGCACTGCAGATATAAAGGTATTGGATCCACATTTTCGTAGCCCTAATCTTGAGTCACTGTTTCAATATCCCATATGATTTGTTTGCTTATTTTTTTTCCATTTGAAGAGTTTATACATTGCTCTCCAAACAGTAGTCGTTTAGCCTGGCTAACATACCTCTCAGTCAACATGACAACAATAAAACATTGATCGCTCACATAAAAATAAAACAGAAGAACCAGAGAATAATAATAGCAAGATTAAAATAATGCTTGTTTCTTGCTACAATATTAGATAAATATCTGTAATTTATCCTATTTTATTTATGAATCTTTTCTAAAGCATTTACAAACTGCTCAATGTTTTAAAATCCCTTCTCAGTATGCAACATGAAAAACCCAATATCATTAAAACAAATGTGCAGCATAAAAGCAGTAAAACAGTAGTATAAAAACAAAGAAAAATAATGCATACACAGGGTCTGATCTAGTGGGTCAGCAAAAGCCTGGGCAAAATGTATGCCTTTACAAGATTTTTGAAGCAACTAATTGTAATTTACACATATACACACAGCTTGATTGCAGCCCATAGAACCCAAATGTATCACATATGGAAGATGGAAGGGCATTCCATTGTATAAGGGAAACAGCAGGAAATGCTCATTTTTGATAACTGCCCTATGATGTTCTGTAGGGTGCTGTACTGCAAGTAGAATTTCCCCCAGAATATTCTAATTTACTCTCTGGAAGCTAAATAGATGTAATGCTCGAGTTGTCCTTGGGTTATTAAATCATGTGTGCTTTCTTGATGGGAAAACTATAGTACGGATCTTGAAAGCTCTGTTAATTTCATTATTGCAGTCATCTACATTCACTTCAATTAACTTATTCATGGAAGCAGCTTACAACTCACCTTGCCATCTAGCCGGCTTTAAATTTGCTCGCACAAAAGCAGTCATTTTAACTTGAAATGTAATGTTGATATAGCGCTGCACTTTGATGATATGAGGCCTTACCGCTCTGCCTGACACCCTGTGAAATTCCAAATTAATCGTAAGAATTGGAAAATTCTCTGAAGAGTAAGAACTAAGAACAGGAGCATGAGAAGAGCCCTGCTGAATCAGGCCAAAGCGATCTAGCTCATCATCCTGTTCTCACAGTGGCAAACCAGATGCCCGTGCAGGACCTGAGCACAGCAGCTCTGCAATGTCCAGTAGAGTGATGAAAACTTGCACAAAAGATGCATTATTATTACTTATTTATTTATACCCCGCCCATCTGGCTGGGTTTCCCCAGCCACTCTGGGCAGCTTCCAACAAAGTATTAAAATACAGTAGTCTGTTAAACATTCAAAGCTTCCCTAAAGAAAGCTGCCTTCAGATGTCTTCTAAAAGTTTGGTAGTTTGACATCTTTGGGAGGGCGTTCCACAGGGCGGGTGCCACTACCAAGAAGGCCCTCTGACTGGTTCCCTGTAACTTGGCTTGTCACAGTGAGGGAACCGCCAGAAGGCCCTCGGTGCTGGACCTCAGTGTCCGGGCAGAACGATGGGGGTGGAGACGCTCCTTCAGGTATACTGGACCAAGGCAAAAATTGCACAAAATTTTCACGAAAGAGGAAGGAGGTGTACCAATTGTATAGATATATGCATACAGTGGAAAAGATACAAGTCTACATTTTATTTAAATATCTGTTTGAAATATGTGTGTTTCCCCTGCATTTAGGAAAATGGCATCTTGGGATTAACTGCAACAGCAGTGATGACTTCTGCCACCACCCTTTAAATCATGGATTTGATTACTTCTATGGGGTGCCTGTGAACAATCTTAGGGACTGTAAACCTGGTCACGGAAGCGTGTTTGGTGCTGGACTGAAGATGCACACTCGTGCAGCGCTCCAGAGCATGGGGATTGCTCTGATCTCTTTGGCGGTTCTGAATTACATTGGCCTTATCAGAGTTCCCCGCAGAGTACTGGGCTACTTCTTCTTAATAGCTGCAGTGATAGTTGGAGTTTTGCTGCTCTTCTTTTATAACTTCCGGAACCTTAACTGCTTCTTGATGCGAAATCACAGTATTATCCAACAACCCTGGAACTATGAGAACCTCACTCAGAGATTCACAGAGGAAGCCAAAAGATTCATAGGAAGGTAAGGGTGTTCAGTTTTAAAGTGTTCGAATTTCAGAGTGATAGTTTGTTTACAGAGGTGCCTGTGATTTGGCAGGTGAACAAAGCACCATCCATTTGTGGCGTTATTGTTGAAAGGTAACAAATTGAGTGTGAAGACAGGAAAGAGCCATATGTTTGTAGACACCCTCTAATTCAGCCCAGAACTTCATCTGTGCTCATTCAGAAATCTCTGAGGTTCAGCTCCTTGCATGGATTCTTACTCGTCTCTCCCCATCCTGCCTACAAACTACTGTCCAAAGTCCCAGTCCTTTTCTTGAATTCCTGCTCTGATCTCTAGGCCCTGCCTACACATTCTACAGCTCAGGGTCGCTGCTCAGCTTGTTGTCATGAAGTCAAATGGCAGCCATCAGCTTACCAGGCATGCAGAAAATCTCCTGGATCTGCTGTCTGTGTAACACCACAAATGGGCTGTCAAGATCCTGGCAGGCCTCAGCACATGGCTGGTAGTTAGTGTTAATGGTGGTGACTCACAAATTTTGCAGCTTGCTCTATATAATATAGAAAGATGTATTGAATACTAATCTATTTGTCCACATTGCCAAGTATTGTCCACTCTTGACTGTCAGCAGCTGTCCATTTTCTCCAGCAGAGGTCTTTTGTAGTCACAGTGCATGAGGTAGGGGCTGGGTGAGTGTCACCCTCACAGCTGTGGAGGTTCTGCTACTTGCCAGGACCAGGATGGTTTAGTGGTGAGGAGAGTACCAGGTTGGCAGTGGCTCAGGAAGGTGGGTAAGGACCATGTGGTCTCTTGTGCTCACTCTTCCTTTCATAATTGGAAGTGTTGCTAATGTTAATTTGATGGTGCAGTGAACCAGACTTTGAGGGCCAACCCAGACTTCCTCCAAAATTTCATGGGAATGCAATATGAATGGAGATACCCTGAGGAGGAGCAACCCCCTGTTTAGGTATACAGGTGTGGGTCCCCAGTAGGCTTGTCATTTTTATTTACGCAAGGAAAAGAGGTCTAGGACAGGCGTAGGCAAACTCGGCCCTCCAGATGTTTTGGGACTACAACTCCCATCATCTCTAGCTAACAGGACCAGTGGTCGGGGATGATAGGAGTTGTAGTCCTAAAACATCTGGAGGGCTAAGTTTGCCTATGCCTTGTCTAGGAAGTAAGTGTTGCACTCTACTCTGCCAGAAAACTATAATTTGGAATAGCATTCCACCCTGGAAGTTGTGTTTGATATCTTGGCTTTGACTCTGGCACTGGAAAAAAACAATGAGGTGCCTCTGAGCATGTGCAGAGTACTTTCCCCTCTGTACTGCAGAACCACAGTCAACCCTCACACATCTGCAATTAGAGGAAAGGACTTCTGGGATTTGACTTCCCAGCTCTGGGTTTCTGGGAGGTGTCTTCTACGTGTCTCCTACCTACACATTTGTGTCCACAGTCATCAACCTAAATCTCCTATGTCTTTGCCACCATCCTGACTTGCCATCCCAGTCCTGTAAGCAGCAGCACTGCTGCACCCAGCCTCATGCACCATGGCTGGTCTTTTGTATCACCTGTTTTGCTAAGCATTGAACCTAGGGGTCTTCTGCATGCAAAGCATATACTCCAGGTATGGCCCTACACTGGGGTAGCTGCTAAAAACTAGCACGGTGAAGATGCATTTTGCTAAAGTGAGCACCTCTCTAAAAAGGAAGACAAACGAAATATACATGAGTCCCAGTTATATCCAACAGAACTTATTATTTTCCATCTATATAGCACATTAATTTCAATTTACAAGTGGTTAATGGTGTAAAGACAGCAGCCCTCGTGTGTTAATTATTTTAATTAACACTATAGTCAGTGCATTTGACACTCATGCCTTACTAGAGCAGTCTTTAGGAGATGTTGTAGCACCCTGCTTGTGGTTAACGCTTAGCTGGAATGAAATATTCAACGCAGCAATAGAGAAATTAAAATAATAATTTATTTGTCAGACAAATAAATGAGAGACACAGTGGTATATGGTTACCAAAGCTCTGCCCACTCCAGCCCTGATGGCCAGCACTTATATTTCCTCAGCCCAGCCCCCTTGCTCCTCCTTTGGCTGCCTCTGTCCAATCAGCCTGGTTGAAATTCCTATTGGCTGTTTGCTAGAACCAATCATAAAAGAGACACCCATTTCCTATTACCTTTTATGGGAGACAAAGAGCTATATTTCCTTCTATCCATAAATGGCAGACAAGTAGCCATATATCTTACATTTGCCTCGACAAGGCACCTTAATTACCAGATCATCTTTGCCCTATTGCCCTATTGCCCTATTCACTCCAAAACAGATGGCGCATGGTTTTCATTTTTATCTTAAACAGAGATCTTGGGTCCACCTTCTCACACACCATCAATGAAATAAGAATCTAACATAAGAATCTAACATTTCTTACTTTCTAAATCCTTTGCATACTTACATTTAAGCCAATATATTTCATACATTAACATATATAGCTTTTTAGAAGGAAAGGAACTTAGTAAAAACAGTTTCCAAAAGCAACCCCTTAAATTTACACCCTCCTTTCAAGCCAGCTGCTGTTCCTATTAGCTCTTGCCCTTTAACCTTAGGAAGATGTGGCTCGAGTCTGATGGGAGGCACAATAATTCTTACTATTTACCAACTCTTAATTAGTGTTTTTGCAGCTTGATTGTATTCTGTAATTTGTATGGTCAGTATGACCTCTGCTCCCAGCCTGTAACTTCCCCTTACAGCCCTGAGGTACTGCTATAGATCAGGCGGGGGGGGGGGGCTTGATCAAGAAGATAAACAACTGCCAGAGTACTCAGCCAGCTGCTTTATGTCTGACATGAAACATACAAACATTTGCAAATATATTTTTTAAGCTCATTTTAAAATACAAGCCTTGATCAGATGCCTCAATGTTACCACATTTAAAGGGAATTTACTTCTTTCGAATTAGTCTAGAAGCTATTGTTTTCTCAGTGCATTTCTGCACTGGGATGACGAGCCACTACTGTTGGAGAAAAAGAAACAAAATCACATTCACCTAACTCTAAATAGAAAAAAAAGAATGCTTCTTAAGCACTTTTCTTTTAAAAATTGGTGAAGCTTCTGATTTCTCTGAAATTTTGTGTGGCAAAAGCTTAGAAAACCGTCTGTGGGGTAGCCCACAAGAATTATGAGTAAAACATTTGTTTTATATTTGGGATAATAGAGAATGGAGAGTGTGTGCATTTGCAAGAAGAAGAAAAGTTGGACATTTGCTTGAGACTGACAAAGCCTGTTTATAGTCTCATGGATAGCAAAGCATATATCATTCTCTGATGCTGTATATCTGAAGATTTAAGGCTGTGAAATAGGGATGAAAAAGTAAATGTCAAAAATGTATGTAGCTGTTTGAGGGCATAGAAAAATGACTCTGCATAGGAATAGATAACTGAGGCATACAATTATTTTGTTTAAAAATATATAAATCTTAACCTTTGAATGGAAGCCAAGCTCTTCTCATTTCTATTCTATATTTGAACAAGATAGTAAAACTCAGCCTTTATTTGTTCCTGACACTTCAGGTTTTTATTTTACACTCATGTTTAAATTTAGTCCTACTTTAAATGCCATTTTGATATGACACACTTAAAGCTATAAAATGGGAGCTGTACCAACATCAAACTCTCTTTGGCTTAAATAATATTTTGTTTAAATGGCACACTTTTCAGTTTTATAGTTACAAGCAGGGCATTTTTTCAGCCGGAACTTGCCAGAACTCCTCTCAGGTGGGCGCCATTGCCATTGTAGGAGAAGAAGGGAGGCGTCCATTTTCTTTTTCTAGAAAATAGCACTGCTTACAAGTATATGTAGTTTACTAGTGAGAAGGCCATAAAGCATTTCTTTTTGAGGTATGAGCTTTTAAAAATAATAGGATAGAACAAGCAATTCCAGAGTTAAAGAGTGCAAAATGAGTACATAGGTATGCAGAGAGGGCATTATTGGAACCTGGCAAGTCCCATATCCTGGCCTGCTGTTCTTCTGCTTTGCTATTTCTGCCTATTCACCTGCCCTCTACCAGGGAGAGAAAGAAACAGAGAGAGCAGTAGGATCCCCATGTATTTTCTTACTATGTGACATGGTGACAACTGAGCCCATTTGCAAAGAAATAAAGAGAAGGGGGAGCAGTAAGGAAGATGAGGAGCCCAAACAAGGAGAAGGTGTACCAACAGCATCCTATGGTACCCTCCAGTTGGCATGGTAGAGGCATTCCATAAGTCTACAAATCTGCATTAACCCATAACCAGTGGATCCACAATCCATTTTTCCAGGTACTTGCTTCCATCCCTTGCAGGGCCTCCAAATATTTATCATGAGGCATTTTAAGCCAATTCACATTTTATCAAAAGGGAAATGGTCAAACTTAAAGTTTGACCTTTAAATTCAATTCAAGGTGGAATTCAGAATGTATCTGCAGATTTTGGACTTTTTGAGAAAAATTAACAGGATATTTTTTTACTGTTCTTATTTTATATTTATTTGTATTGTTTTGTTGCTTTGCTGTTCACCAGCCTGGTGTCCTTAGGAAGTATGCTAGATTGAAATGTAATATTAATAAGGATAGCAATATGGCTTCCTGGCAGACTATGCCTGAGGGAATGCAGGTCTCAACAGAAGAATTGTTGCTAATCTCTGTTGTAACGCCACCTTTATTTGGTTCAAGGAAGCCTGGCGCCAATTTCAACAGGCCTGGCACTCACTAGGCATAAGCAGTATGAGGGAGAGTAACTACAGCTACTTGCTGCAACAGCTGAAGAAATGAACCTAGGCTGCCAATTCTTTTACTGGTCTACTTGCTGAAACAGGAGCTTGAAGGCTCCTTTCCTCCATTCAAGCTTTGGGATGGTAATAATAGGAGCCATGTTGGACACCAGAATGGTACGATTCTCAGAACCCTTAATAAACACAGTTCTCGGGATTCTTTAAGGGAAGCAATGCACTTTAAATGTGCTTTAAAGGTATGGTGTAAATGTAAAAAATTGCTAATGGAGGCCACTCCATTTCAAGCTTATTGATGCTTCTTTTCTTTCCATAAAACAAGACATACATGAGGAAGGAGGATGGGGGGTTACTCAGGTTCTTTTTATCTCAAAAAATGTGACACACAGAGAGAGAGGAATATATTTAACCACCATGAAGAAGAATTATTCATATGTTAAACAATATTGCATTGGGCTTCTAAGGTTTCATGGCCATATTAATGTGTATGATGTTTTCTTTATTCAAGCTCAGAGTTTACTTTATTGTCCCCTCAATGAATAAAACTTAAGGTGTGTTGAGAAAGGAAGGTCTTGGCAAATTGTGTAGAAGGGAATGGCAATAAATTTTCAAAGGAGCTGTTTGCTGAAGTGCTTCAGTTAATAAAACAGGACTTTAACTGTTATTGTCAAATCTCCCTCCCACTTACAAGCCGGTGTGCCATTCTATTTTCAAGGTTACAGAAGAGGTAATCAGTTATGATCCCCACCAGGGTTTGGTGTAAGAAAAATAGCCATCTCTGATTTTCTAATATAAAGGATATTAATAGGTGAGATTCTTCACCTGAAAGCTAGCTGTCAATCAGTGCTGGTAGACTGAAAAAGCAAAAGCAGTGAATGATTTTAAATCCATTGGTATGAACCATTGATTAGATACCTGTTCTTGGAGTAAGAACTCTGTGTTGTAGTGGCATCCTTTATATTGCTTCTGGGGTTGTTATCTCCTGAAAATGGGCATTTGTAATAGAAGTGGTGACTTGTACCTGTCCTGTATTTATCGCTCTAATCCTATGTTCCCATTAGATGCCTGTTGCAAGAGATATAAGTTCTCCTTTGCTACTGTTTTTAATCAACCTGCCTTAGTTATTTGGTCCTACTACATGGGAAATGGGATTGCTGTCTTGCAGTTTTAGCTTTGGGCTCTCAAGATCTCTGTTTGATTCATTACTATGTGGTAGATGACAAGAGTTAAGCATTTCCATTCCCAGTCACAACTTCTTACGTGGGAAGGAAGATGGCAGGAACATCGCTGTCTGGATAATGTGTATAAAATGATTTTTTTTGTACAAGGCAAATTACGCAATATGTAATTCTTTGTGTATTGTGTTTATTATGGTTTATAGTGCAATCCTACACAGGTCTACTCAGAAACAGGGTTCACTAAGGTTTATGGGCATAGGATTGGAATCTTTATCAATTAATAAAATGTACTTATTTTCAAATTGTATGCCCTGCATCTCAAGGCAAGAAACCCTTCCACTGGTGGCTAGTGTGAGAAATTCAGGTCTTGATCCTCAGTGCAAGTGAAGGGATATGTTACGAATCATTGTTCTCACTCCTGACACTTTAGAGGGCATGATTTTACAATGAGAAAGCCATTTATTTTGTTGCACGGAACTTGTTGTTTTGGGTTCCTTTGGGAGGAAAGGTTGGATATAAATTAATAAGTAAATGGGAGTCAAGTCACAGAGAAATGACCTTGAACATATCTGAATGGTGGAACCAGAATGACCCAAGAAGGTTGCTCTAGAGAAGGTGACCAAGAGAAAACTCCAAAAGCTGTCTTTTATTTGTATAAGGTTGGCAATGGTTTTTATGTATGCCTTGCATTGCAATTCACTGCATATTATATTCTCTCCTCTCTCTTTTTCTGTTCAGGAACACCAACGCACCATTTCTTCTTTTTGTGGCTTACACTCAGGTCCATACAGCTCTTTATGCATCCCAAGCTTTCAGAGGAAAAAGCAAACACGGATTATATGGAGATGCCCTGGAAGAAATGGACTGGAGTGTAGGTATGTTATGTGGCTTTACATCACCTGAGTTAATTGCCTTTTAGAAATATATGTAGCTTTTTATTTATTTTTTTAAAAAATATTTTATTAAGCAGTTGCTAAACTGCTTAATATGTCAGAATTCTCCAAGCAGTATTTATTTCACAACGTGTATACAGCCCTTGGTTGTAATAAAACGTCAGAGTGCTTTTACGAAAAGAGTAAAACAATAAAATTATCAGTAAAAAGCAGTTAAAACAAGTATTCAGAATATTGGAAAAATAATTAAAATCAATACTAAACTAAAACCTGATCGAAACACAGGACAGCTTCTGAACTTGTCTGAATAGGCTCGCCTGAACAAAAATCTTAAGCAGGTGCAGAAAAGGCGTTTGCCTGATGCCAATACGCAGGAAGTTCCAAAGTTCCTGTCCTGAACACTAAAAGGTTTATTTGTTACAGCCTTCCCAACTTTATCCCTTTTCACGGATACAAATGAAGCACTAGCAATCAGCTGGTAGAGACTGCACAGGTCTCTGCTGGCACTTGCAGCATCTAAAACTACTGTCAGCCTTCGCTCCCTTTTGAAATCAATGGCAGCTAAGTGTGCTTCTCCTTCTGCTAGACTGTATCCATTAGTTAATGCTAGTTATTATTTTGAATTCTAACATACAAAGTGGTGACTTTTCACAAAGGATGGCATAAGACAAACAAGAAAGAGCAAGAAATTGCTCAGGGCACCGAGTCTCGCAATGCCCAGGCTTCCGAGGAGTGCTAATCTACCCGTTTCTGCAAAGGGTCCTGATTTATTTGTCAGCGTATTGGAACGACTCTCCATTTCTAGAGGTAATCATCTGTGAAAACAAGTTCGTGCTTGAAACAATCAAGCTGAAGAGCAGCAACACTAAAAGATAATATTCACCTTTCATTCCTCCCACCCGTTCACCTCCAACTCATTTCTGGTTCAATAAAGCAAAGTACAAAATTATTTTCAGTAAACAATGCCATATTTATTAAATTACCGCAAACTGACTTTCACCTCTGCAGTAGCTGCCTGCTTTATAAGGAACGCTGAAACGGCACGCTCTGATTGCAAGTGTACAGAGTTCAACCTCATTCACATTTCTAGTCCAAATTTAGCACCAAACTTCCGCTTATGAATTGCAAGAGCAATACAAGGCTACAGTGATGGGTCCCCCCCGCCCAAGAATGTAGTTTTCTCATGGCAACTACTATTAATATAGGAATGTAGGAAGGTGCAGGAACGTAGGAGATGACGAGGATTGATGGTCTACCCAAAATTACTGTGTAATCTTTATTGAAACACAGGAAATAGTGGTCTACCACTCTCCAAGCCTCCGCCATGTGCGAATGTGATAAGGAGACGCCGGAGTCGCTCCAGCACATTATGTTCACTTGCCCCTTGTTCAGTGTGCCACGGGCAAATTTGTTGGGATCAATCATACAGAAACTAGAGGGTACCCCACCAAAATTCCACCTTGCCCAAATCCTGCAGGATAAGGATACCCATACGACCCTGAAAGTGGCTAGGTTCCTGGTCGCTGTCCTTACCCAAAAGCGACGCCAAGGAGCACTACAAGCTAATTAAGGCGTAGTATGCCATCCCATCTTATAGTATTTTATTGTTATAGTGGTGTTTTAGCGGCTGTTTTTTCCCACGTGCACAAGCTGTTATTTATGTGTTGTTTTTATCTGTATGGGCCTATGGCCGTAATAAATTTTCTTCTTCTTCTTCTGGTCTACCACTCAGAATTTAGTAATTTTACCAATAATTTCTCCAGGATTTAGTTGGCTAATACCATAGATCTCCTCCTAACTCATATGTTTATGGTGCTCATTCTTTTTTAGTCAGGAAAGCAGTGGCACTCATTATCCAGTTTTTCAGGTGAACCCATAACTATACTGCAAGGTTTTGAATACAGGGACCTGTGTGCATTCTTTCATTTCATTGTAAAATCAAGTTACAGTTTTTGCATAGAAATTGTAATGATACCAGTTCATTGTGGAAATATATCACTCACGAACATTCAGGCTTACTGATTTTTATTTTTATTTTGAAATTCCTCTGTAGCATGTGTGATAGTAAAAAATGTATACTGGGCAAATTTGATACCATCACTGAGTACTGTGGTAGCAATTAATCTTGAACAAATCCAACAAATAGTTGTATTGTTCAGAAAACAATGGGAGGCACTTTTTTGTTTGCATAGTCATTTATCACATCAAGAGACACGCTCAGACTTTTTGATACAATTGAAAACAGCCAGTGAGTGATGAGATGACCAATAAATTGGAAGGGAATAAACCAACATATCCAAAGCTATGATGGATGTTCCCACTCCCTGACTGTTAAGGCGTTTATGAATTGCTATTTGAAGTAGTTTGAAATGTGAGGCTACAGTCATCAAACAATGACTCTTGTAAGCAGTGCCGGATTTACGTATAAGCTAAACAAGCTGTAGCTTAGGACCCCACTCTCTTGGGGACCACAAAAAAAAAATCAAAGTAAAAAAAACCTGGATGTACATTTCCAAAATATAAGATAAAAAACAAATAAAATAAAACCTACATACAGTGGTACCTTGGGTTAAGTATTTAATTCATTCTGGAGGTCTGTACTTAACCTGAAACTGCTCTTAACCTGAAGCACCACTTTAGCTAATGGGGCCTCCTGCTGCCGCCGCGTCGTCGGAGCACAATTTCTGTTCTCATCCTGAAGCAAAGTTCTGAAGCACTATTTCTGGGTTAGCGGAGTGTGTAACCTGAAGCGTATGTAACCTGAAGCGTATGTAACCCGAGGTACCACTGTACAGCAACAGTGTTTTGTGTTGTGTTGGCTCCTATGATGTAAGTAATGGGCCCAGCTGCTTGCCTGTTCTCTAAAATATCACTGGTTTGCTCATTTCTATATATAGGGTGCCTACATTCTGCATGTGCAAATGGCTTTATATATTAGGTCCATAAATTACCATATAGCATATATTCAACACAAAAAACAGTGACAATTTGTTGTTGACCAAGGACAGCTGGACATATAAAGGGCCCCATTACCTTCAGTATGGGACGCGGGTGGCGCTGTGAGTTAAACCACAGAGCCTAGGACTTTCCGATTAGAAGGTCGGCAGTTCGAATCCCCACAACGGGGTGAGCTCCCATTGCTCGATCCCTGCTTCTGCCAACCTAGCAGTTCAAAAGCACGTCAAAGTGCAAGTAGATAAATAGGTACCGCTCCGGCGGGAAGGTAAACGGCATTTCCGTGCACTGCTCTGGTTCGCCAGAAGTGGCTTAGTCATGCTGGCCACATGACCCGGAAGCTGTACGCCAGCTCCCTCGGCCAATAAAGCGAGATGAGCGCCGCAACCCCAGAGTCGGCCACGACTGGACCTAATGGTCAGGGGTCCCTTTACCTTTACCTTACCTTCAGTAGCTTAGGGCCTCATCAAACCTAAATCTGGCCCTGCTTGTAAGACTACTGAAGAGCAAGTAACTTGAATATAACTATTGCTCAATACCGCCATTCATCATTGTATTAATATTTGGTTAAAACTTTCATTGATTGTAGATCTGTTTCTTTAAAAACCCACATTTCTATTGATAGAAATGAGCGTACATGTGTACTATGTAGCAGCACTCATGACATTGTTCTGCTGGTATACATTTTTCCTCCTTTTCATTCCCTGAGAGAAACTAGAGGATTAAGCAGTCTCTGATGGTGATAATCTATTCTAAAAGTGCTAAAGTCTGTGACAGCCCCAGTGGTATCCATTCCAAAGCTGTCAGCTTGAACGCCTTTGCTCAAGCATGCTCAGTTTTTCCCAAAGAATAGCAATGACCAAATTCAAGTGAGTGCAATCTGTAAATGTTGTGAATGCTGATTTTTGTACCGGGGTCAGAAGCAGTGCACAGCTACAGGTCCGATGTACCATCAACCACCTAAAACAGTACATCACGTAGAATCCGTTGTGAAGGCCAGCTGTCCACCTGATATGTAATCTGCAAGTCATAGACAGACAGGATTGCAGATATGACAATGTTATAGTTGTTTCTACTGTTTCAATGGCAGTTACACCTCTGGGTTGTGCAATATGGTATTGGTCCTCTGAATATTTGTGGCCTGTTGTTTTATTTAAAGCATTTGAACCTTTACACCATAAGATATTTGACAGTTACATTTTTTAAATGATTTTTTCCAAACAACAACAACAACACCCACATACATTTAAAGAATTCTAGGGATCATGCAGTCATGAGATAGTCCTTTCCACAGCATCAACTTAATAGTGAACATAAACAATGGTTCTACGTACAGAAAAAGTGAATTGGTGGAATCCCTTTCAAGGGAAACAAAAGCTATTCTTATAGACCATTAAGGGCTTTATTCATCATGCATCCAAGTCAGCAGAAAAGGATAAACTTTGGACAGCCAATGATATCTTAGTTCTGAACGTCAGAAACTTGAAGTTAGAATTTGCCTGTCAACTAGTTTGATATACAAGGCTATTTTTTCCTGACAGGTTGCATCAGTGATGATGTCCTAACAAATATATTCATACATTTGCTTTTAAAAGTTGGAGTTTTTTTTAAGGATATGTAAAGGGAATCAAAGCAAGCTATTATGATACTGCCAAAAACATCAAAGCTGTTTGTAAGAACCGGAGCTTGGGGGTGGAGGATTGTATTTAAGATTCTTTCTTGACACAGCTTTGCTTTTGTTAATTGAGTTAATCTGTAAACAGTGGACAAACTGAATCTTCACTTTGCTGCATCAATAATGTAAAAGCATGGGTCAAATATTTTTTTTAAAAAAAAATACAGAACCTTTGCAGTCCTGTGCATGCTTCCAGAACCTGATGCTTCTTTGGACTGTACTGAATGGTTCAGTGAGCATTTCCTGGAAAAACTTTATGTGCTTCACGAGGGTGGGGAGGATGTGTTCTGAAAACTGATTGCTCTTACATTTCCCCCCAGCATTATTTGCAGAATTCATAGCTCAAATTTCA